GTCCCAGCTACTTGGGAGGCCGAGGCAGAAGACTTGCTTGAGCCCAGGAGTTGGAGGTTGCTGTGAGCTGTGATGCCATGGCACTCTACCCAGGGGGATAGCTTGAGGCTCCTTCTCAAAAAAAAAGAATCACTTGAGCCCAAGAGTTTGAGGTCACTGAGAGCTGTGACACCATGGCACTCTACTGAAGGTGACAAAGTGAAACTCTATCTTAAATAAATAAATACATTATCTATCATCTAGTTTCAAAAATGAGCACCTCATAGACAATTTTGGTTTTTTGATTTAAAGTGACACATGTTCCTTTCACTTGAACTCTTTTTTTTTGGCAGTTTTTTTGGCCGGGGCTGGGTTTGAACCCGCCACCTCCAGCATATGGGACTGGCGCCTTACTCTTTTGAGCCACAGGCACCACCCTGACAATTTTGGGTTTTATTAGATACTTTCCACATTTCCTCCTCCCTCCTCTCTGGGTTATTTTAAAGGAAATTTTAGATATTACTATGTATCGCATTATTATATCCATAAATATCTCGGTATGTATCTATAAAATATGAAGATTCTTAAACATAGCTTCGATACCATCACACCTAAAATAATTAACAGTAATTCTTTACCAGTCATCATGTATTCAGTCAGGGTCAGATTTTCTCACTTTTCTCATAGTGGTATTTCTTGAAATTAGGATCCAAATAAAGTTCTATGGATATTGTTTTTTAATATGTCTCTTAGACATATTAATGTCTCATCCTGTGTATCTATCTGTCTGTCTCTTTTCTTTTCATTGCATTTTATTTGTATAAGACGACTAGCTGTTAGTCCTAGAGTTTCCCATGGTCAAGATTGTGTGGCTGGGCACAGTGGCTCACACCTATAATCCTAGCACTCTGGGAGGCTAAGTAGGTCAACTGTTTGAGCTTAAGAGTTTGAGACCAGCCTGAGCAAGAGCAAGAGAAAGACCCTATTTTTATTAAAAATAGAAAAAATGCTAAGGCGCCAGCCACGTACACCTAAGGTGGCAGGTTCGAATCCCCAGCCCGGACCCACCAAACAACAATGACGGCTGCAACCAAAAAATAGCCGGGCGTTGTGGCGGGCGCCTGTGGTCCCAGCTACTTGGGAGGC